CTGCTTTTATTCAGGACCACCAATCCTCTCTGGCATTGCATTGCCCAGCAGAGACAAAAGTATACAAGCCACGGGCTTGGTAAGCAATGACTTCCGCTTGTTCTGCAAATATTAAGTCTGGTCACATGTAGGTGGCTACATGTTTGCCCTGGCCAGGTAAGACTGGGAGAAGGGATTAACACTTGAGGAATCCAGGCCGTGGCGCATTCCATACTATAAAATTGGCTCAGAAAACTTCATTTGGACAAAAATTATATTTTGTTATTTGAACACAAATTATATGTACAAAATGCGAAAACATTAAAAAATGACTGTGCCTTTAACAGAGCAGTGAATTCTGGACTTGTTGTACACAACAAAAATGAACCAGATTATGAAAAAAAGCTTTCTCTGGTATTCTTTTGCCAATTACAAAATTCTTCATAACAACAGCTTTTCTTTAGTCACAGATTTCTGGCCAAGATAAAGCCAGAAAACCTGAAAACAAACACAGAATAAGCACATGTATTTCATAACCAAAACCTGGCTGGCAGTATTGCTACATCAAATATAACAGAAAAGTTCTATCACTTAAAAACCAAATTATATAAGCGACAGTCAAAAAATATTGGGTGAAATCACGGTCAGAAGTCGGGTCTCTCTCCACCTGAGAAAACCTCAAGGTGACTGGTAGCAGTAAGGACGTTGTCAAATGGCTACAAAAGAAGCACATTGGGCTAATGGCAGCGCGTGCAGAGCAAAAAACAAACAAACCAAAAAAAAAAAAAAGCTCGCCTAACTAAGCCATGGTTAAAAATATTGGGTGAAAAAATGGAGGAAAACACATATCCGACTCTTCGCGACAACGAAAGAACTTTATCGAACGAATCACACTTCCCACCGTGGTAGGCCGACGTTGTCACAATCACGAGACCTCCGCTCGTCGTCGAAAACACGCCGCTGGCTTTTTGAGGGGAACGAACGGCACAATCGTACTATACACAGTGCGACGGCTTTGTCCCAATCACGATATCTCTACACGTCGTCGAAAACGCACCGCTTGCTTCTTCCACGGCACGATCGAGCACCAGTTGCACAATCCTGCGCACCTTCCTTCAACTACGTCCGACAGGCGTAGCGTAGTCTCGCTTTGCCCAGCTCGAACACTCACCGCGACGCCGCGCAGTTGACGATGCGATGCAGTTCTCACAAACGCTCTCCCGTGCACAAAAAACATAAAACAATCACATGCCGATGCCTCGGTTGATTTGTGGGCGTCTAACTTCGTTGAATGTCTCACGTGTACACAGATTTCCACTGACCCGTCACATAAAGTTACGTAACTTTGGCTACGGAGGCCAAATAAAACGAGATGCGGTGCTTCTTCTTGGCTCCGTAAGGTCCAGAAACATACACCGATCTATCTTAGGTCCGGTCCAAGGTTAATTGTCCGGTTTTCAACATACCTCTTCAATTTTCCAACGAGAAAAACTAAAAAAAAAAAAAAAAAGGCGCGCTGCTCATCCCTGCTCACTGAGCAAACATACAGATGAAGCAGGTGAACCGGAAGTGATCTCGTCCCAGCAAGTTCCGCCAGTTCCGCCATTACTTGTTTATGCATACCAATGCATACCTTCCTTGGAATACCCTGTACACCGACTGCGTAGGGTGAACACGAAAACTGGCGACTCTCTTGCATAAAAGAGGAGTGACGGGTGCTTTAATTAAAATATATTCATGTTCGTCCTAATCCCCGAAAATCTGACTAGATTCCCTGCGCGGTGATAGTTGTCCGCCAGGTGGCGCGAACTACCTCCCATTGCAAAAAGTGTACTTGTAATTTTATTATTCACCCATCCACTCGATCGTGTCGCGCGGATGCCGGTGCAATGGCCGGTGCAGCTGGCTGATGGTGGACTCATCAGGCCTAGTTCAACTTCAAGCGGTTCAAGGCGTTCAAGGTTCGACGATTTGAGAAGCTTTGTTATCGGTTTGTGCACATTTCAAGCCACCCAAGATAGCACGCGGCGGCGTCCAGAGACAAGAGGCCATGAATACGCTGATCAAGGAGTAAGTCCATTTTCTAGTCGGTGTTTTGTTTTGCAAAGTGACTGGAACACAATGGGCATAGGGTTAGTAGTAACGGCTCAGTTGACAAGCTCTGCATTAGCGGTGCTTCGGAAAGGCGGCTCCGTCCGTTCGTGCGAGCGTGATGACGCTGTCGTCGCAGCCCGCTTGGTTCGCAAGGTCGGGGAAGCTCGGGCCACTGGCTTGTCATTGCAAAATCAGGCGGTCGGCGGCATGTCAGCGGCTCTTGTGCACTTTTTAGATTCTGCTGCAGCCACATGATTGTATGATTGTTAATAGGAAGCGGAGATTTTGCCGGCAACCGTCATGACAAACCTACAAAGAAAAACTGTCGCGAACACCGAACTGGCATGTTGTTTCTTGTATAACACGATCTGTAAGCGTAGAAGTCTCCGAGCCGGCAGTAGCTCAGTGGTAGAGTGTCCGCTTCTCACGCAGAAGTTGCGGGTTCGGTCCCCAGTGGGTATACTTTTTTTTTTTTTTTTTTGTCAAGCTTTTTCCGATGTTTGCACATTTTCTTTTAGACAATTATCGCTGAAAATGAATATATATGTTATTATTTGTTTCCACCGATAATTAGTTTTTTTTTAATACTTAATGTTTTAGTGATAATGCTTTTTTATAATTGATTTTTTAGTGGTAATTGATAGCTTTTTGCGATATTTGCACGTTTTCTTTTAGACAATTATCGCTGAAAATGAATATATATTTTATTATTTGTTTCCACCGATAATTAGTTTTTTTTTATACTTAATGTTTTAGTGATAATGCTTTTTTTATAATTGATTTTTAGTGGTAATTGATAGTTTTTGGCGATATTTACACATTTTCTTTTTGACAATTATCACTGAAAATAAATGTATTTTATTTCTTATTTCAACCGATAATGGATTTTTTTTAATAATTAATATTTTATTGATAATGTTTTTTTTTATAATTGATTTTTTACTGGTAATTGATATCATATGCGTGAAGGACGTTTTAGTGAACAACGCCATTTGAGTGAATAACGGAGGCGTGTCTTAACCCACTCCCCAGCACTGCACTCGCACCGCTTTTCGGCGGCAGTCTGCAGCTGCTTGTACAAAAATGTTAGCTTTCGATTGTTTCGATCTCGCCCAGAAGTTTGTTCATTTCTAACTTTCAATGAAAAAACGGTTAAAGTGCGGGCGAGCTGGTGTAAGTTATACATGACGATTGAAAACCTGAGTCTGTGGTTGGAAAACGGAAAAACGTGATGTAGAAAGTATGGTGCCTGGATCGCGTCTACGACTGGTGTGTTTAGCATCCTATCCTGCCCATACATCAAAAGTGGTCCCGAAGTGGCAACAGATGACGTCACAGAAGCCGTTGTGTCATGCTGTTGACTGTCACGATCCTGGCGGTTGGCCATAGAAATGCTGGCGAAAAGCACAAGCGAACGCGAGTGTCGCTGTCGTCACGGCGTCCCAACTTGCAGCTGCTGTAGCTTCCGTGGACTGTCACAGTGGAGAGCGACCTGCAGCAGAACAGGCGTCGCCACATACACCACAACTATTGGGACGCCACCAGGTTCGCGACCAGCGACAGCATGACACTTTTATGACGTCATCAGGCGGAAATCGAGGAACCACTTTTTTGGACACGGTAAACACACCAGTCGGAGACACGTTCCAGGCACCATAGTAGAAAGACAAAGTGACAGAGAGCATCTCTTCCATTTTTTAACCACAGTCTCAGGTTTTCAATCATCATGTCTGACTTTTGATTGGTGTTTCTCGTGCAGAAGTTCATTTGCGTTACAACAAAGCAGCTGAGTAGTTGGGTAGTGAAGTTTCGACAGGGGCCTTTGCTTGGCACGTAGCCAGGATTTTTTTTTTGGGGGGGGGGGGGGGGGGGGAGGGGAAAGATAGGAGGAGGAGCACGCCTGCCCATGACAAAATGCTGTATGAGGGGGGGGGGAGGAGGTCCCAGGAAAATGGAAGATTGCGGGGGGGCCCCATGGTCCCCCCCCCCCCTGGCTAGGTGCCTGGTCTTTGCACCCCAGCCTTGCTGTGTCAACATTAACAGGGGCTGACAGTGAAGTGGCTAAAGACTTCTTATTTTGGCTTGAAATAGATAGCAGAAGCATCACGACATCAATTGAACAGCATCATCATGAACCTATGCCCTAAACAGACCTCTTGCTTCGCTCCTAAGTGTAGCGTATTCACTGTTCAGTCTGTGGTCGTGTCTCGTGAGTGACAGTGAGCTCCTTTTTCAAATCGTGCGGCGAAAAGATGTCACGCGCTGCGGGTCAAGTGCAGACGTTTTGCGTCTCGCTGAAAGTTAGACGTGCCTGTTTTGCTAGATGTATTTATTTTGGATCTCTGCTACAGTTTTTTGTGAGTTTAGTGCATTATGCTTGTATCAGAAACCTGCATTTGTAAGTACCTTTTTTAAAAATTTGTTTAGCGGATTTCTCCATCCAAAAATAAACAAATCTGGCAGTGGTTGCTGGCGGGGCCCCCAACATTGCCCAAGCTGTCTAAAATAGGTTCTAATATTCTGGTAGAATGCATATTCCACACTTTTTCTCTATAGCTACCACGTCGTGCACTTTAGATGAAGGGAGCGCATACGTCGTCTCGGAGTGTTGGCTGGTCAGGAAGCTAGGGCAAGTCGTCTCCTACTGGCCACCTTACAAGCAAAAGCAGCAGGTCCTCAATGCAATTTTAGAGAAAGAACAGATTACACTGACTTGGTCGAATCACCCAGTGAAGATTCTTCACTCCTACATTAGGTTGGCGATTTTTTTTTAATTGAGCGTATAATTGAGATGATCGTTTCTCATGCAGCCACACTGCAGCACGCTTCAGACCATCTGGTCGCAGCTGCCTGAGCACCCAATTTGGACTGACGGACCGGATGTAGCCCCAAGACAGGAAAGGGCTAGGAGGCCTGCTGGCCATATGGACAGCGACTCTTCGGACGATGCCTCAAGAGAAAGTGTGTGTCCCGGTATAAGGCTGTTCATTATAAATTATTATTCAATGTGAATCAAAACTTGCATGAATAACTTTAGCTCCTTATGCAATTGTAAAATTGCTAAATAGTTATAGTCAGTAACAGGTCAGTAACAAAGGGCATGGGAAACGAAGGCTGGATAGAAAGCAGACTGAAGGTAGAAGAGGTTTTTGTCCTCTCACCTTCAACACCCCATATGTTTCCTCCTTTCCCACCTTCGTTTTCCTCGCTCTTTGATCTTGATTTATCACTGAGTGTAGGTCAGTCTCGTTAGTGCACGCACATTGTAAAATTCAGTAGTTAAAATTGAAAGAATGAAAGCACGAAAGATGTATACAGACAGCTGAGAGCTGTCAGTTAGCAACATTTAATTCTGGATGGAAAATTTTGTGCAGTGCCCGAAACAACCAACAGTGGTTCAGCCTTGAGCGAGCCTCCCCTCTGAGCAACATGGAACTGTCCGAATCATGTACTGCGCCCCTTTCGGCCATCGCTTCGGCCATGCGCTCCGAGTGGGTATTTCGTATTGCTGCAGACTGTACCACATCAGTTAGAATTGCTTGTCCTTGAAACCTTGCAAGCCAGTCCTTTAGTTACCCTGGTTACACATACACTTTCAACTATTGTTGAGTCTACGACACTTATCGGCCTCAACTTTGACTGAACTCAACTCAACTCAACTCTCTAGAACCCAGTTAAAGCTAGCACGAAACTGGTTCTTGTGTCGTGTGATCAGTCTAATTTTTAAGTAATTTACTCGGAGACACACGTTTTATTTATTTTAAGTAGATCATACTATATGTTTGATACCTTGTTGCTTTTTAGCGGCATTTACACGAGTACCAAAGCAGATTCAGGGCTAGGTTGCACATATTTTAGGCTAGGTGGTGCAAGCTACTGCCCGCTATAATGGGTGCCCCACTACTATTTCTCTATTTATGCAGCACGTTCCTCCGCCATTTTTGCTCGTTTGGAATCTTGCCGGCTAGCCGGGATGCTATGATTGGCAGCTCGGACGCCTAAATTTATTCCTTCCAGAAAATTTTGCTGCTACGATTCTTTCTAGACGCCTTCCCCTGCATTTCGAAACAGTAAGTGCCTCACAAACAATGGTTGCTGGCAGCGGTCCCGCGAACAGGTGCCAATTTACCTCCGTTGGGGAAGTCCGTTCGGTTGAACTGAGGTGGGGATCTCAGTCGGACTCAACTGTCATTAGCGGCTCAATGACGGTTGGCGCTGCCGTGTAACTTTGGCTTATCGCGGTGGACTCGACTGTCGTTGGACTCAATGGCAGCTGAGAGCGCCCGTGTAACTGGGTACTAGGGCACTAGCTGTCCAACAAAGCTTCCAGACAAAAATGTCCCCAGCCTGCGCCCAGGGTAGTTCTCTCAGCCATGAAGTGAACAGGTGTTGACCATGGGGTCCCCAAGAAATGTCAGTAGTCTATAATGCCTTGTTGGTGGTCTTTGATTTCTGACTTTGTTGGGCTCAATCTTTCATACTTTCAAATATTATATACATAATCTATTTTCACTTACGTGGTACAATCGACGCGGCGAGGACTCGAATCCAATCGCGAAGCCTGTGATTGGATCCGAGTCCTTGACGAACTCTGACAGAGCGCTCATTTGCAATATGACCTAAGTTCACGCCGAACGCTGACGCAACTGCTGTGTCCATTACATGCTCAGAGTATGTGAGCAAGCAATGGTGGCCGGGTGTTGGTACAAACTTTTGAAAAGGCTCTAAGAACAAATTTATGAAAGCTTTTATTTCAGACGACCATGCGATTGAGCTTTTTGTTCGCTGTTCTAGATAGCTCGGAAAATGGCACTCTGAAATAAGAAATAAAAAAAGTGCCTTAGTTGTTCACCATACCTCTAACACAAGAACATTTGGGAACATGGTGCTTAGATATGCTGTAGCTTTGGGTTAAGCAATATGGCCTATTCTAGGCTCTAGGCCTGAGGCCACAGATGTGGCCTCAATCCAAACATTTTTGTCATAAGAGTTGTGCATTCTTACGGTAGGATATTACAAAAGCAGTCTGCATGAATTGAGCGTCAGTCCTGCATTCCTTTTAATGGATTGCCAGAGAAGTGTCAGAAATGTGGGTAAGAGTTCATAAGTCCTACCTTTGTTTCAGGGAGCCATTGCAAAGGCTACACTGTAAAAAACACTGCTTACATACCTATAGTTTTTGTAGCATTGTTTTCTGTATCTACAAAAGAGTTTCACTCTTTCTGATTCGGTCTAAGCATCTCTCTTTTTTCGTGTTTGAATGTCTTCTACTTCAGGTTCAGTCCTGCCAGCTTATCATGTATCAGGTTAGTTCGGGCTCATTATGAACTATCTCAAGCTAATATAGCTGGTCCCACTTTCAGAACACATTCAATTTTGCTCTTGGTTTTATCTCTTGTGCACTCCTGCTTACTTGAGGCCGTCTTTTTTTTCTGCTCCCTACAGGGCTGAAGAGAGCCGCGTCTACCACAACCTGGATGCAGGGAACTTCTCCGAAGGGGTGAGAACATTTATGACATCTTGGCTTGTTAAAGAGCACGTAAACAGAGGATCGGGATTGGCTGAAGTGTGATGTCGTTGCTTGCTTTTTAATAATTTCTGCAACTCTGCATGCACCACCAAAGATTGGTAATTTTGTAATTTCACGGCATCCAGTCCACAGATAGCAGTCGATGCGGAATGCTAGCCGTGGCTAGCTACTAGTTCAAACTTTTCTTGGAGGAAGCAACATTAGTAACCTCATATTAATGCCTTGCAATTTCAGCAGGATGCCCATGGTGCTATCGTTTTATCTATGCATGTGCTTTGTGCGGTCACCCCTTGTTTTGCAAGGGGAAAATAAATCTATTCTTGGGCTTGAACTTGCAGTGAGCGTTTTTAGAAAGCTATGCTAGCAATCAAAAGGGCGGATATGGGGCGCTGTTGGCCGAGCTTCGATCCTAAAGAGGTCTGGCGATATTCATGTTAACAAAAATCAATTTCAAGGCTGTCATGAAAAGGAAGCTATCTATGAAATGTGGCAAGATGTGTTGCTGAAACAGACAGTCTTCATCGACAAAGCAATTTGTCGGTGAGACATTCTTTGATGAACTGATTGCCACCAGGGGGTCTAGACAACATCTGAAATCTCAAGGCCTGCATGCTTTAAATTTGACAGTGCATAGGTAGGCCACTGCAGTGCACAAATTGAACACGAGTGCCGCATCTGCATTCGGCAGGGTCCTTGGTAGAGTTAGAAAGGGTTGCAAAGTGAACAACTTTCGAACATTGCCATGGTTTGAATTTACAAAGTTGCTTTCGATGTTGATAAAAGTAGAGTTCAACAGTTTCCTCTTTCTTTTTTGCAATTTTGATTCTAAAAATATTTGAAGATTTGAAATTTCTTGGTTTAAGTTAGAATTATTCGAAGATTAAGAGTTTTGTTCCAAGTATAAGTTTGTAAAGTTAGAAGTCTTCAAATCGCACGAGGGTCCCAAATTCAGTTTCGAGTGATTTCTTAATTTTCTGATGTGTGAGCTCTGTTTAACTGAGTTTAAACAAAGCTTGCGGAAAACAGAGATGGGTACAGCTGTTGCTACCACCAGATAGCTTGCTGCATTTGCTGGGCAGGTCGGCACTCGGCCACTTAGCTTGCCTCTTTGAGCTGTGAGTCAGTCTCCTGCGACAGCAATTGTTATCTGCACAGTTCAAGCGTGGTTCAAGCGTTGAAGCAGTCGCTATGTGTTCTGAACATGTAGGTACCGATTGAATCCTGTTTCGTTAGAAGTTCCTCAGATATAAAGTTTAAGCTTCGTCAAACTTTTGGACTTCACGGGTTCGAAGTTCGACAAATCTGTAGAGAAATAATGACTAAAATAGTCGAATTTTTTGACATGATAGGTTCAGTGTTATATTTTTTAGTGCCAAAGTTAGAAAGGTTTAACATCTTTGAATTCTTCAGACCTCAGGTTTGGAAAATGTTTGCTTCATCTCTAGTTCTTGGTCTGATCAGTGAGAACACGAGCCCCAGCCGAATGCTGATGCAGCACTCGTGGTCTGTCTGCTTTGTGCTGGCCTATGTGTCAGCATATTTGAAGCAGGTCAAAATGCTTTAGGGGGGGGGGGAGAAGAGAGGAGGTGCCTGCAAAACTAGAATTTCTGAGTGAGTAATGACCTGGCAACTACTTAGTAACCAATTTTCTGCATCTTATTCCCACAAGTGAGAAGCTAAGACTAATTGGTGTGTGGTAGAGTATAACCGGATTTGGGAGGCACAAAAGGGGGCCCTGATAAAAGGCGAGCTTCTTCTTGCCCTCCTCCCTGGTGGTCATCGTAGCGCTTTTTGAATGACGTCGCGTGCTACCCATGTGTAGATTGAACTACCAAGAGCGCCGTTTTGCTCTGCAAGCTGGCTTTCACTCAATGCAGACAAGCCCTTGAGGGAAAGCCAGCTTGCAGAGCTGGCTTTCCCCCAGTGCGCCTGCTGGCAATGAGGCCGCTTGAAATAAAAAAGCCAGCTTGTAGAGCAAGCTGGCTTTTCTCTTTCAAGAGGCCGTGTCGACCACCCGGAAGAGAAGAAAAAATTCCCTTCTGTAAAGGGTGTGGGGAGAGGGTGAGTGGGTGAGACCTTAAAAAATGAAGAAACGGCCACTGACTATCCGCGTGACGCGTCCCTCATGAGATACAGACGCTCCTTTGAGAGCAAACAACTTTCCTAAATGTGGCGTTCTTGTTTGTTGTCAAAATCTTTAGTTTTATAGACACACACGCCTCCCTGACGTCACGCAGTTGCGGTGGTACTGTCGACGGCACTGCGCATGCGCAGAAGCCTCAGTTCACTCGAATTCGGTTGCTGCGCGTGCGCAGTGCCCACACCTGGTGTGGGCAAACGCGGGCTTGTTAGTAAACATTGTGTCGGTCTATATCGAATTACTGAGTATGTCAGACTGGTAGAGAGTTTTTGCGAGTTCAATAAACGTTGTTGACTGTAATTTTATGTCTAAACTCAATGCTTTTTATTTTCTCAGCTGCCAGCAAGGCGAAGTATACGGACTTGAGCGAGGCGACGGTTCAAGATATCGCAAAGAGATGGCTGTGGTCATTTGTCGACCGTGATGGTGGGCGAAGCAAGAAGCAGGATGAAGAAATGGAAGAGGTTAAATAAAAATAGTCCCAGAAAATCCTCAGCCTTTTTTGTTTTAACAATACAAACCAGTTCTCAGTGAGTTTGTGCATCCCGACATTTGATCTCAAGTGGTTGATCTTAACTGATACAGCATCCACAGCTACTGCAAAGTGTGCAGGCAAAATGTCAGGCACAGGCTCTTGTTCTGCAGTGCGTCCATGAGTTAATTGCAAGGCTAACACCTAACTGCAAGTCGCTCACTAATGTGCGACCTCGGCTGTAGGGCCAGCACCCAATCGCAAAGGTACGGCCTATGATTAGTTGCGAGGCATCGGCCTGTGTCCAGCTGCATGTCATCGGCCTGTGCCCGGTCAAACTTCTTCGCCTAGCACCTGACATCTAATGTACGGCTAATGCCCAGTTGCTTAACTCCGGCCTGCCTCTGATCACAGGACACCGGCCGATACCCTGTTGCTAAACTTCGGCTTGCTTTCGGCCACACGGCATTGGCCAGTGCCCAGATGCTAACCTTCAGCCTGTGTCCTGACACAAGTCTTCGGCCGGCCTCCATTTGCTAAACTCCGGCCAGCTTTCAATCGCAGGTGATTGGCCAATGTCCTGTTCCGCAACTTCGGCTTGCTTTCGGCTACATGGCATTGGCCAGTGCACGGATGCTAACCTTTGGCCTCTGTCCATACCAAAGTCTTTGGCCGGTCTTTATTTGCTAGCCTTCGGCTTGTGTCCTGCTACAGGTCATCGGCCAGCCTCCAACAGCCAGTCCCCTCAAGTCTTTGGCCAAGGCCCACAGCCATGTTCGGGCATAGTAGTTTGACCAGACTTAGGCCGGAGGAAATGTGACTGGCCAAAATGCTTCAGCCATTGCCCGGCCGTTCATTTTGTGCTGCCTGGGTAATACGCATAATTGACGTCACTGCGTTTTGCAAGCAATTTTTTTTCGAAACTTTATTGTTATGAGTAAAAATATTACGCTTCTTTTTCAAGATGTACACCACGCGGAAAACGGAAGCTGCGTCAATTGAGTGCAGCGACGCCCGGTAATGTCCCACCAATAACAATTGAAAGTAAGTTCCTTGATCTCCCCTCTAATGCGGAAACGTGTTGAGCGGCAATAAGAATTATTGGGAGTAACGCACGACACGCAAGAACAACCCAGAGCGCTCACTCGGTTTTAAATGAAATGTTCAATGTTACATACTTTTAATAAAAAAGACACGACAATTTAGTGGTGAACATTATACAACATAAAATATTGAGATTTTAAAAAGTATTAGGGCATTCTGTAATGAATGGGTTGTTGCTAGTTTGTGGCAGTTGGCATTTAAAACACGGTTTAATATTTTTCCAATCAACTGTGTAAGCAAAGTGTTAGCGCTGCCGTTCTACTGATTGCCAAAACATTCAATCAGAGCAGCGGCATTGTAAACAAAAAACAAGTATGCCACACAACATCCCTTTGTTAAGAGGCACCGAAAATAACTCAGGTTGGGGAGGAGCGTGCCGTAAGCAAACTTGTTTTATGTCTCATGAGTCATCAAGGTAATGCTTCCGAGCTCGGGACTATCCGCGTAACATTTTCTTTTCATACGTCGAGTACGCACCGCTGCGTACCGCGTTGGTGTTCCCAAAATACAAGCAGAATTGCAGGCATTTCAAGCCTAGAACTGAGGTATTCTCCCTTTTTTGGAGAGAGAATACTTGAAATCCACGAACAAAGCTCCAAAATATTTGTCATAAACATAATTTAGGGCAAGCACCGCCATAGCTCTTGGTACGAATACTACACATAGAAATTAAAAAAAAAAATTGGAGAGCATTGCCACGTAGGAAAAGTCTCCATTTAGGAAAAGTCTCCAATGTTTTATAATAGGATTAATATAACTATTCGTTAGCCTATCAAAAGTAAAATATTGTATCCTCGTCAAACTAACAAATGTAATATCTTAGATCTACACCCAGACTGAAAATGTCACAAAATGTCTTCGGCAGAGCAAAAGGCCGATACGCAGTTGTTGAAGTTGATAGGATGATTTCAATATATAATGCTGAAGTGTACCGAAGAAGCTGCCGATATCCTATATGTCTCACTCTTTTCCGCAATGCGGTGGTCCAGTCTCGGAATCCTCAAGAACGCCTACACTGAAGGATTAACGACTTCGTGCCCTATTGAAAAATCCGCCAAAAACTTCCAGTGACATACGATGAACTTCCAAGTGACATCCGGTGAAATCCCGTTTTCAGCCCAAACCAGCGTAATTTTCCAGTATTTGCTGGAAGATCTGCCGATGCTACTCTCAGTTATCAGACATAGTTGGACTTTCATTGGCAGCTACTTTCGTTTACCAGACGGCCCGGCTTTGCTGGAAATTTTACGGGAAACG